GTCGCCCCATTCACCGAAGCCTCGGGGCAGCTTACAAATAAATAAATTAAAATACATAAATAACAATATAAAATACACATAACTGTATAAAATAAGTCGCCCTGGCCAAAAAACTTTAAAATAAAAATAACATTAACAATTAAAATGACACTTGAATAAAAAGGTCTTCGCCTGGCACCGAAAAACAAATAACAACGGTGCCAGGCGGACCTCTCTGGGGAGCGCATTCCATAGATTGGGCGCCACCGCAGAGAAAGCCCTCCTCCGAGTACTCACCCTCCTAATTTCCTTCACGGAGGGTTCCCGGAGAAGGGCCTCCCCGCTGATCTCAGGGGGCGGGTGGGCATATATGGACGTAAGTGCTCCTTCAGGTAGCCAGGACCCAAGCCATTTAGGGCTTTATAAATGATCACCAACACCTTGAATTGGGCCCGGACTTCAATGGGAAGCCAGTGAAGCTGACGGAGGACTGGAGTCATGCAAGCATAACGCCCAGTCCCCGTCGACAGCCTGGCAGCTCTATTCTGAACCAATTGAAGTATCCGGACCGTCTTCAAGGGTAGCCCCACATAGAGCGCGTTACAGAAGTCAAGTCGGGAAGTCACCAACGCATGTGTCACTGTCGCCAGGCAGTCGTACTCCAGGTAGGGGTGCAGCTGATGGATCAGCCAAAGCTGAAAGAAAGCGCTCCTCGCCACTGCTGTCACCTGAGCTTCCAGTGAAAGCTCTGGGTCAGGGAGCACTCCCAAGCTGCGGACCTTGTCCCTAAGAGGGAGTGCAACCCCATTCAGGACTAGGTTCAATTCACCCTCTCCGAAGCTCGATCCGCCGACCAACAGGACCTCCGTCTTGTCTGGATTGAGCTTCAGTTTATTTGCCCTCATCCAGCCCATTACCTCAGGCAGGCACCGGTTCAGCACAGCCACTGCCTCACCTGGATTGGTGGAAAACGAGAGGTAGAGCTGGGTATCATCAGCATACTGATGATTCCGCAGCCCACACCTCCTGACGACCTCTCCCAGCGGTTTCATGTAGATGTTAAACAGCAAAGGGAACAAAATGGACCCTTGCGGTACTCCATGGCATAGCTGCCATGGCGCAGAGCCATAGTCCCCCAGAAGGTGGTGCTGGGGGACTATGGC